GAGCCACATGACTAGCCTCAATGCTAGCTTCTGCAAGATTAGCACTCATTTTGCAGACCTAAATTCAGATCAATAAAGACAAGAGTCCTACAGAGTGCCTCAGGGAGACTTCTACCTCCAGGAAATGGAAACACCGAGCCCACTGAGGGGCACTAGATCCTGACCTAGATCCCTGATAACAAAAAATGACCTTGGAAATACAGGCTAGAAAGGGTAGAGGAATAAACAAGAATGCCTCCGTGAGTAGAAGTATACTTTCAAACCCATCTTGCATCATCTTTATAATGCTTTATTACTAGGGGACTGAAGGCCCCTTGATATATGGCCCTCAACACTGCTCAAACAGCAGGAGCCAAAGCCCGTCACAGCTGTGTCTACCGCAAGCAGAGATGCCTTCATGCCGAGAAGACTCCAAATGCAGCCACCAGCATGAGGCAGAATCAGCACCCCAGCCGGTACCCCAACCTACGGAGCTGCTTGCCAAAATTTACAGCTGTATCACCTGGAGTGAGCAGGAAGGGAGGAAAACAAAGTAAAATAAAGTCTTCCTTCAGCTCCTCCCTCAAACCGCAGCAACAACAGTTCAAAAGCTCCCAGAACAGCGACTTGAAAATCAACGCTGCTCCAAAGCCATCCATTTCACACATAAATGGAGAGAATAGAGATGCTAACAAACCTGCCTCCCTCCAGGCTTTTCTCCTGCCAAAAAAGAGCCACTCAATCTAATGACTCAATTAAAAATTCATAACTGGATGAAAGAAAAAAAAAAGTTTGGTTCTGTTTCTGAGAAAATGAGAACAATAACTCTCATTTAGCACTCATGCTGCTCTTCTTGAATACTGTACACAGCAATGAAGCACGTCTGAAAACCTATGACCTGTAGCTGAAAGCTAAACCCAGGAGAAAGCGGGGGCGTGCTCTACCTAGCCCTGCAGAGACATGAGGGCAGGAGTCTCTCTTGCTGTGACCTGGTAGGTAGAGGAGAGGGATTTTTACTCACTCGGGCTAGTAAAAGCCCTCTCCGCATAATTAAAACATACAGATGGGACTGACATCAGCACCAGTTCAGGCTAATGGAGATGCAGAAAAATACTCCCCAAATCCTTTTCCCTTCAAGAAGGGCAAGGAAGCATCTCCGCAGGTTCCCAACACCCCAAACCAGTCCAGCTGCCCTGCTGTTTCACACCTGACAGTTACCAGCACACACTGACTTCTGCCACCAGGCTAAAACAGCAGCACCAGCTGCTTTCCAAAGTCAACCAGGGCTGACCCGTGACGATGCTCGTAGGTGACCCCTCTTCTCCACCCCAGCTGCAGGTGCCTTTGGAGGGAGGCAAGGGGCACAGAGAGGAGAAAGGCTGGTGAGGCAGCACGGCCTTACTGGCGTACGCTGCAAAGGCTCCCTACAGGAGTCTCTAAGGCAAGCACTTCCAGAAAGCATAAGGCTTTGGAAAAGCTTATGGTCATGGGTCATCACAGTGGGCATTCTGGAAAATTCAGTTCTTCTCAGGATTTAACCACAGTGAATGTTTAGGCAGAGGTACACATTCAAAAATTCAAGTGGCCTTAAATCACTTCCAAAGTGAGGTTTTGGAAAGGATTTAAACTAAACCCAATTAGGGCCACAAATTCTGAGAGGGAACATCCATGAAGGAGATTAGTGTGTTTTAACTAATCCTCTGAAAGTTACTTTCCTTGAATAAGTTATTCGATTTATTTATAGACTAAATATAGATCTTTTACGAACTTTATATATAAAAAAAAAAACTTAGAACAATTTCCTTGAGCACCTCTGACATATGTAAGCCCTTAAGTGTATGACCTGAAGGCACTGTTCACGGATGTCTATGGTGCTGAGCCCCAGACTGCACATGCCTCATGCTAGCAGCAAGGGTAGCAGAGAGCAGAAGCATCTCACCCAGCAAACCCAGGGCGACCACCAAAGAAGCTGCTGACCTAGGGTTAAAATCCAAATAGTGCTACCTCCCTACGCTCCCAGCCCACCTCCACCAGGGGAAAAGCAGAGGAGAAGCATGGACAATCCCTTCTGCCCCCCATCAGACAGGCCAGCTAGTCCCCAGATCCTCTTCAGGTAAGCTCCACCACCCAAGCTCCCCACGGAGCACACCAGCACGTAATTCAGCCATCGGGCACTGCCCAGCTTTGGTGATTCTGAAGTTAACTGTTCAGCTATTTCCCAGTAAGGTCTATGCCTCGAAGGCTGGGTTCCAGCACAACAGCAAGTCCTTGGGTGCAGCTCCCTGGCAGTCAAACGTGGTCACAAATCTGCATTGCCATAACCCCACCCTCACCTATGGCCCTTTCTTCTGTGGTGTTCAGTTTTCAACAAGTTTACCTCCCTAAAGTGGCTTTCTAGGGCAACACTGACTCAGATTGCTTTGGAAAGGAAACCACATCTCTAGACACATGAAGTAAATCACATAACTCAAAAAAAAAAAAGGTATCTAACTCTTACTTAAGGAAGCTGCTCAGTAAAATTAAATGGAAAAGCAGACATCTAAATAACTGTTTGAGCTCCAGCCCTCGGGGCTTCTCCACCCTGGGAAATAGTGTGGGAGAGTCATTCTGCCACAGCCGCCTCTGTTGACACTTCCAGAAGTGAACAAGCCAAAGCACAAAGAGGTGGTGAGCTGGGAGGAGAAATATTGTGATTTAAATTCACCCCTTCACAATGGCTTTCCTGTGTCAACAGTGCTTTAGCCTGCAACACCCCAATCTCTCTGACCTGTAAGTCTGAGTAATGAAGCAGGTGACAAGCCAGAGGTCCACAGACTGCTTCTGAGGCACCTAAAAGACGCAGCTAAAAAAAACAAGCCAATTGTCCATGGGCTTAAATTTGTTATACAGGTGTTATGGAACATCTTTTGGGGTCCTTTAGTCAAAAGTTTGACTAAGCTGTTTGACTGCTGTTAGCCGCAGAACACACTTCAGAGCCTACTCAGTTTCAAGATACAAAAAACAACAGAAAGTCTGAAAAGGTCAAAGGATGGAGTCAAAGAGGTGCTACGAAAATACTCCAGGTTTAAAAGTATCTCCCCGAGCCCTGACAGCCGGCCGCAGCATGAAGCTTACCCACGAGGTTCATCTTGGCACTGTAGCTCCCGAAGTACCTCTCGTCGGTGGTGGGCGTGTGGCACTCGTACTCGCCGGCGTCGCGCTCCTGCAGCTCGGTGATGTGCAGCCGGGCCGCGTCGCCCTGCAGCCGCTCCACGTAGATCTCCCGGCTGCGCACGCGCTGCGTGTAGATGGCGTAGGGGAAGGACGGGTCGGCCGTGCTCACGATCTGCACCTCGCGCTCGGGGGCCGACGGCAGGTAGATGGACCACTGGAAGTTCTGCTCCGCCGGCCCCTGGTAGCCGCTCACGCGGCACCACAGCGTGATGTGGGAGCCCTCCGTGCGGTAGAGGGGACCCTCCTGCACCGTCACCTGGCGCTGCGCTAGGGCCATGCCTGTGGGAGAAGAACAGCCATGTGTGACTTTTGGCAGGTGCCCCCTCATCTCCCAGGGGCCATGGGCAGGCTAGCATTTATCAAGGCCCAGGTCAGTGATGGAAGAATGGGGACATTGTGACTTTGGCTGCTGCCCATCCTGGAGCCACAGCAAAATGAAGAGAAAGAGGGGCACCACATCATTCCCAATAAGGCAATGAGGGCCAGCAAGCTTTTCGGGGCAATGTAAGAGGAGGGGACACCTACAGGCACACATGCATTGAGCTACCAGACTCAAATGCCAGGCAATACCTCAAGGAGCGAGGGAACAGCTCGACTGCATTAGCATCACATGCCCACGTTCCTACTTTACAGGCAGGGGCAGGGAACACTTTTCACTTCAACTCGCATGACAACCACATGAGATAAGGTCAAACGCTGCTCTCGCTGGCAGACAAGCGATGAGCAACTTGCCAAAGAGCAATAAAGGAGCCTGCAGCCGATCTCCAAGCAGTACCAGGTGTGCCATATGACGACCAGTTTTCCTATGGGGGCATTTGGCAAGACAAGCCTTCAGACCCCATTTTAAAATCAGGATATTTCACTCTGTCAAAGCAACCCTCCAGCCAAGGAGGAGAATATTTTTTGATTGAGTTTTTGTTTGCTTGTTTTTTTAAATGCCTTATTAAAAAAAAAAAGGTTTTGAGATAACATAAAACCTTTCCCTGGTAGTGATAAGAGTCTAGACAGAAAAAGGCATTGTGCTACACAATATGAAACCAGACTAGAAACTCAAACTGACAAGGCTCGACTTCCAACACTACTCTTGCTTCTTCTCCCAGTCCCTCCTGCAATAACAGCTAGTTTAAAGGCTACCTGGCTAATTATTCTGTGACAAAAGAGTCATTTTTGCAAAAAGGGCTCTTTAAATTGACAACAGGCCTATACAGAGTATAGACATAGTATACCTACGACAGCAGCTCTATATGGAGCAACATGCTCCATAGGGAGAGAAAGATTTCATCCTTCCAGTTGCCCCCAAGCTGCTGGCATGTGAGCACAAGCAGAGCAGATGGACAGAGAAGATCCAGCAGCAGTTCATGGTGTCTGTCCCCACAGAGGCGAGGCGAGACCGCCCCTACCCAGGCAGAGGCTCGTGCGCGAGATGGGCGGCTACACGCTCCTCCTTGCCATCCCTGCCGTTCTGGTTTACCCGAGCAGCACCTTTCCTTCTCCATCAGGAAGCCTGCTCAGGGCTTCATCAGGAACAAAACCCTAGTCTTTCTCCCCCAAATCGAGCGCGTCTTCTCCACTGGTCTTTCTGCTACACTTGTAAAGGCATACCAGGAAACACTGCATCTCCAGCACTGCAAACTCCATTTGAAAGGAGTATATTTAGCACATAACAAAAACAATTAGAGCTAATGGAGGGAGCGGGCCTACTACACCCTAAGACTTACCGCCACTGGCTGCTGGAAATCAAGACCAAGTATTGCACACTGGGCACACGTAAACTCTTGCAGGCAGGACTGCTGGATGGAACAAAGACAGGATGACTGCAATCTGCTGTATTTTTACACAGATTATGGATGGATGGCCCTTGGGCTCATGGCACATTACCAGCACAGCCCTCCAGGGGCCAGATAAATTACAGCAATCTGTCTTGTTTGTTGCTACATCAAAGGCTCTGAGGTTCGGAGACCACGGTGGGTGTTCATCAGTTATTGAGTTACCAGCAGCATGCGCACATGGCAAGGCCAATCACCCTGGCGTCTGTGACTGCTTACTTGCAATCATAAAACAGCAATAAGCCGATTTAAAGCAAGTCCAGCATAATCACGTTTGCAAATTTTATAGTGTGCGTGTGTGCACACACTCTTATTTTTTTTTCGTTTTAAATTGTTCAAGTCCAGAGAAGGATTTAATCTTTCAAAAACTAGCAACTTGCAAGTGAAAGAGGTAGCTTAACATTTGAAGATTATTGACTGAATCTCTCCCTCCGGACATCAGAGTCCAGATACAAAGTTTCCCTGAACAGACACCTTGGACTGAAGCCAGGAGAGATGGTTCTTACCAGCTTAAAACAAATTGTGAAAAATGGGTTCAGCACATCCATCAGGCCACGCAACTGAACAGATGGAGTGCAATTCAAACTATTAACTTGGGTTCAGCTCACTGCTGCTCCAAATTATGTTTCTTTTTACTCTTTATGAAATAACGTGATTTAAGAGGAGGACAGGGAAAGATAGCACGTTTAAAACTAACAAGGAGAGGAACGGCAGGAGCAAACACTCCCACACTGTTTGCTATACCAGTCTCTTCATCCTGAGGAAGATACTGCTAGAGACAATTGATCTAGGTTGTAGACAGACTCTTCTCTTGCCTTGTAAAAGCCAAAGGACAGACTAAACACCACAATCTTTGAAGTGAAAAACTATTTTTAAAGTGTGAAGGCTGAGTTATTTACTACATATGCCATATGTATTACTCCATAATCACATTTTCGTATCCACAGTATACTGCATGCAGTAATACAATTACAACTTTGCTACAGTGCAAACATGCAAGACTACAAATTACAAGGTGCACATACACACGACATTCATTGCAGGTATTATAATATTTGGGTTTATATATTTGGCTTTTGAGAGGATGACCTCAGGCTTTGAATGCACTACTGGTGTTGCTGCACAGGAACTCTTGGAGTTCTCCAACCATCCAACCGATAAACAACATTTTATCAGAGACCTTCCACAGCCCACTGGCAAGATCATGACCTTGGGGACCCACAGCACAGAACTCCGTACCCTGATGTTCGCAGCCATCTGGTGGCAGCCAAATTCCACCCCTGTCATGGGTCAGCCCTAACATGCTCTCCTTCTCCCCTTGCCAATGGCTTTTCTAATTGCATGATCAGAGGTCCCTAGATAGGTTCGGAAGAGATGCACTTCCTGCCTTTTTCTCACTTTTGGCTTTCTTGCCTCTGTGCAGGTTGCTGCAGTTTCCCACCTCGCTCTGCCAATCTAGCCAAAACAGGAGAGTTCCCCATTTTCTGCTCCCGCTCTAGGAACCAGCTGAGGAACAGGAAAAGCCGGTGCAGGAAAAGCCCTGCCCAGCTCAAAGGTGGAAAGAAGGCAAAACTACCAGGGTTTTGCTACAACTTGCAGCAAGTTTCTGTTAAGACTCAGACCTGGGACACAAAAACTTGTGGGTTGGTTGGACGGGAGGGATTTTCAGAAGGGCAGGAAGCAGCGAGTCTGTGGCGCTCTTCCCTCTGCATACTTGCAAATTCTTGTTTAATGTAAATGGGCACAAGACTTCTCAACACTTAAAACCCACACAGCAGAAGCAAAAATACTTCTCAAACAAATATTTTAAATAAGATGGGGAGGGAGAAAAACAACCACCCTGAGAGACAGATCCATGATTAGAAGTCTTCTCCCCAAGTGGTTAACTTTTTGCAGAGTGAACTGCTTGGCAGTTTTCTGGCTCTGGGAATTGCTGTTCCCATGCATAAACTATATCAAAAAATGAACATTTCTTAGTGAGAAAACATTTTGATTAACAAAAATAATACGTCTGAGATCCCATTTTAAACTCTTACCTTCCCCTCTCGAAGTGAGGGGAGGGGAGGGCTCACTGAAGGAAGAGTTTTGTGCCCTACATCACCCTTAGGAAGCCTAGGAGACAGTTACAGTCGGCATTTGGCTGGTACTTCATTGGCACAGCTGGCTTTTAATTGCAAATCCAATATAATTTACTGGCAATGCTAGGGCTGAGAGAGCCAAGAGCTACTTGAAAATTAATAAGAAACAGATAGGTTTGTGCATCTGCTATTTTAGAAAAGGCAGCAAAACCCTCCTGATAAGGAAAAAACATTCCCTGATCCTTATCCCCTGCAGATGAGGGCTATTGTTGTGGGCCTGCTGAGGTAAGAACAAGCAAAACAACCACCACACAGCTCTTAGCACTCCTGCTGGCTTATGTCTCTCAGGCCATGCTTTGGAGAAGGGAGGTATGTGGGGGAAGGAGGCAGAAGCACAGGCAGCCCTGCAGTGAGACTCAAGGGGACAGAAGAAGTCTCTCAAGACCTCTTCGCATGTCTCTCCGAGAATCTTCTCCCAGGACTATGGCCTTTCTCACGTTAAATGCTTCTGAAAAGCAGGTGAAAAGGGACAGCTTTTTCTGCAAGGCAAGGGGATCCAGATAGGAGAGAAATGCCACGTCCGAGTCGCTCACTTTTGCATACTCTAACCGAGGCTTAACCGCCTCTCCCTTCAACCTAAGGGCAAGAAAACAGTGTTGTGCATTCCTCTGCCAGATGCACTTCAGCCAGGAGTGTTGCAGCACAGGTTATGAACGTGCACTCTTCTCAAAATTTGCATCCTTACAGTAATGTCATTTGACTAAGGCACCACCTAACCTTTCCATCTGGAGACACGTAGAGCTCGGAGCTCCGTTGTTTTCAGACATTACTGGTCACTTCCAATGCACCATTTCAAACATGCTGAAGATGTTCCACTTCAGAAAGTGCCAGGTGCTGAAGGGAGACCTTCAGGTCCATTTTACAAGGGCAGACATGCAAAACTGTACCCAAGAACATTGATTCAAGGTCTATCACAAGTGATAAGTGGATGAAACAAAAAAAAAAAAAAAAGGATGACTGCACACACAAACTCCACCACAATACTGACACACCAAAATAACAACTAACTAATCAGAAAGAAAGACCAGGAACCCAATGCACATTCTTCTCATTTTATAAAAAGTGTAGGTTACACCTACACCACACTCAGGGGCACCACAGCAAGTTGCATCAAGATAGCTTATAAATCAAAGTCACTATCAACACACTGCAATCCAAAACAAAAACCGTTGCTCTTGAAAGAATATCATCCTAGGTTCCTAATCACTAGCCCCCGCCCCCCCCACACTCCTGCCAAAAAAGAGAGGTCTTTATTTTCCACATTTTCCACAAAAACATAGGGCTGACAGCTCTGAACATGAAACAGATTCTGT